TGCATCCTCATTCGTCCTGATTTTTTTATGTGAAATCTACGTCTTTTAGTCTTAAATCTACGTGTTATGGTTTTTCTTTTGTGTATTGCGTTATAACGTTTTGTGTAAAACCTGTACGTGATAGAGAGAAATGGGTATCATTTTCGGATTCAACGTACAGGAATTACTGTAGAACATGTAAAAATCTGAAGACAATAAAACCCAGCCTGTGTAATCAATCAAATATTTTTTAAACTCATCTTTGGTGCTACCGGGAAAAGTGCTCTTTATCAAGTCTTGAATTACCATTATGTATTTGGGAACCTCTAGCTTACTGAAGATAATTCTGAAGATTCCAAAACATTTGATAAATGTTTCACGTAATTACGTTCGCGTTTTCTTAATTATTAAATGACGTTTTCCTAAAAGAAAAAAAACAAAACAAAAAAACGAATCGATTACTTATATTTAAATTCTCTGAAAATTGTATTGTCTTGTGAGGTGACTCATAGTACATTATCACTATTAATAGCTTTTCTCTGACATTTTTTTAGGACTACGTTTAGGAGAAAGATTCACGTAGAAGCTACAAACGGTCACCGGGACCTCTGACATCAGTATTGTTATGATTGCTCATTGGCTCATTTGTATATATCTCACGTCACATAGCATGGTATCTAATCTATAGACTACCACGTGGTATGGCATCACGTGTAATTATGTCACAAGTATAATACTTGTAATTTCTCAAGTTCTGCTTTCAAAAACTAGTCGTTTATAATGCTGTTAATCAACAACAAAGATCTTAAAGTATCACATTTTCTCAGTATTCATCCTTAGGGCGGTTCCACAGTTTGCAGCTTTTCAATCTCAAACTATTCCCTGATTAATCTTTTTGCTTTTATTATAAAAGTAGTATTATCGAGAGTAGTTGATTTAGTTATATCTCAATCATTTTTATTGTAGGTCATAGATTTCACCAACCAAAAATTTAAATCCATACACGTCATACAAAGGAAGTGTCACTACCACCAAGGTGTTATGTAAAATTTAAATTTATTAATTGTTGATAAAGTTGACGATTCAGTATGTTCACGACATCACGATTAGTCTAAAACTATATTAAATCGTAATTTGTATCTGAAACTAATATAAAAGAATACGTACCCCTTAGTACAGTTTATTGTATTTTACCATGAACGAATATCTTATGTACAGGCCAGTTTTTCATAAATTTTAATTAAACGTGCATGAATTATCTTTAATGATTTTATCTGAATTATTAAAAAAAATTGCATTTTCCTAACCCTTTTCTCAGCTTGCTGTTTAGGGTTTTATAAATGCTAATTAATGATAAATTATAATTTTGTGTTATAAGGTATGACTTGTAAACAACGCAGCTGTTTTTTGTTGGTTTTTTTTTGTTGTTGTTCATTATATCCTATTTTTTCTGTGCTATTCGTTTTAATTGTTGTTATTTGTTATTAAGCTCAAAGGGCTATCTGTGCTCTGCCCACCTAGTTTCTAGTAGTATAATTCCGCAGACATACCACTGTGCCACTGGGAGTGGTGGGGGTATTCGTTTTAGATCACTCACCTTTCATGTTTAACATGTCGTTTGCCAGTAGAGTATTAAACCTCTAGTGTTAGGGATTGTTCTTTTATGAAAAAAAAGTTGAAGTTGACTTCTTTATTTATTCAGTAATATTAATAAATCTAAATTGCCTTTGACGATAGTATGCACCAAGTATATACTAACAAATTAAATTAGCCTTTCTGTCGGAATACGAGTTGGGGATAATTTTCGATACTTTACTTCTTGTTGGATTATGTATTTAAAAGTGGTCTTGACAGAACCCAAAACACCTTTTATTAATGGTTGCATTTCAGTACTGAGTCAAGGAATGGGAGGAGATAATACCTTCCCCATTTTTGTCAGAATGGACGTCAGGGCAACGTGAAACTCAATCGCTTGCTAAAAGTTACTTATGGAATGCTGATGTATAGATTCTGTTTCGTGAAAACTTTTACCTAAAAATGTATTCATGAAATTCTGTGCATAAAATATTCTATAGGTATATGGTACTGATAATGTAAAATAGATTCATTCATTGAAGTAGGACAGTTCAGTTTTCTCTATATAATCTACTTTAATACCATTGCAAATTTGATACATGATTTCAGGGATGGAAAATAGGTTTTAACTGGCGTGCCAAAATAAAATGAAAGTGTTAAGTTTTCACATACTTTTTATTTATTTCATTTAAACCGGATGTTAATAAAACATCAAAAGAAAATTCAAAAATCTTAATTTTGTTTTTGGAAGAAACTTATTGGGATAATCACAAATAATTTTTCAAAAGTTGGTGTCGCATATTTCCTTCGGATTATATCAGGTACAGGCGGGCGCGAAAGGGTTAAACATGAAAAGAATGTACGGTACACCACCGCTGTTCATGTCAGCTGTGTTCGTTAGAGCAGTGCTTCCAAAACTTTTTGCGGTACAAGTAAATAAGACCGTATGGCAGGCCTAATAGTACCGCTCTGACTTAGACAGGCAGAAATTACTGTTATATCGTGTATCAAGGAGGAAGGAAAAAATCAACCAAATTTGAAATTTAAAAAATGAATTAAATTGATAATTAATTTACATTACTAAATAAAAATTACTTAATAATTGCAAAAATTCCGTGGTGCACAGTTTGGGAAGCACTGCATTGGAGAATTAGATAACAGAAATATGGCACTGCGGGTGCGCACTTGTACAAGAGCAGTAGATCTTGCCGAATCCGCTTAGCTTCGGCGTGATGCAGAGTGAACCAAAGCTGAGTTTCACTTAGTAAGGATTCAAACTAATAATATATTTTTGTATGCATTTTCATTTTTTTTTTTACAAAACGTTTCAGCGTGCCAATAAAATTTCATTGTGTGCCATGTTTGGCACGTGCCGCCTATTTACCATCCCGGCATTATTTAGTTCATTATTTGTTTTTCTCACCTCATCTTTTTTTAGCCTCCCATTTTGTAAAAGCCTGGATCTTAACTGTATTTTATGTTACAAAATGTCTGTGTTCATCAGATTCGTCATGGACAGAGAAGGGGTGGAAAGAGACATTTGTGGGTTAACCTTGATTCTTGAAATAACTTCATGCAATGATTTACTCGCAAAAGAAATGTGTGGAAACTAACTCTTGATTAGTTAACTTTTCGAACAATTATCCTATTGGTAAATGAGCTCATTACGTTTCTTAATTAATCTAAACGTATTGGTTCTACAAATAGGGAATTAAAATCAACAGAAAATAACGTGAAACCCACTTAAAGCCATTGTATTCTGAACGTTGTAAGAGTTCCTAAGAAAAATACTATATATTATTTATGGTTTCTTTATTAACATAAGATCGGAAATCTTTATTAGTTTTTGTTTTGTTTTGTTTTCGACTGTGGAGTTATGGTGTAAAGAAAATATATGTTCAAAAACCAAGGAATAGATATTTGCTCATAATGTGTCATATCTGTATCTGTAAAGTTCTGTTTTAGTGAACTTGTGTCAACCTCTATAAACTATTTGGGCCAAGCGTGGCCTATGGTTAGTATCCCCGGACTGTGAACCCGAGAAATCATAGTTCGCGATCCGTTGTCGCAAAATCACATGCGCAAGTTGGGGTCGTATGGTACGCTATAAGAGTGGCGATCAAATCCCACTATTTAATCAGATAAGAGTATCTCAAGATTTGGGGTGGGTGCTGTTGGACAGTTAGCTGCCTTTCCTCTAATCTAGTAGTTCAGAATTGGGGAAGGCTATGTACAGGTAGATCTTGTAAAGTTTTGAACGAAATTCTGAAAAAAAAACACTCTTATTATACATTTTGTGCCATCATTATAAGACATCACATGATGTATTTTCTATGCAATGAATGATATAGTATTTACCAAACATCTAGCTTTGTTTTTTTATTTTTTTAATCCTCAGGCATTTTGTATTTAAGATTATTCGACATATATTTCAAAGGGTTTCATTTCTTTGAGTCAAGTTTGGTTTACTTCTTTCAAACTAATACTTCTCCAATGGACTTAAAATACAGTATTTTTGATATTTGGACTTTAAAAATGAACGTAATCTTTTTCTTACAAGCATTTCAAACTAGAAAGTCGGTTTTTATGTTATAAGTACTCTAGAGACTATTTTTCAGGGTATTTTTTTCCATATTGTAACTTACATTTTTTTGTGAAGAATTGAGGTGTACATAAATACAAACCTGGTTAGATTTTTCTAGTTCTCGATTATTACTCTTACACACACATAGCATTTCAGATAAGTTTACACATCCACGTTTTGAGTTCTGGTACTGAAGGAAATTCTTCCTGAGCAAAACGAACTTGTAGTCATAATGTCAAATCACATCTCAGAAATCAAACGTCGAAACATTCATACCAAAAAAACAACAACAAACAAACAAACTCTTAGTGTAACGCTTATTCGTGTAAATTTTACAGTAATAGAGAATTACTTTTAATTCAAAAAAAGAAGAATGTAGATATTTTGCTCCGCCTGTCTAAGTTAAACTTAGTGGGCTTTTATAAACTAATGACAATGAGTTGTGATAGATCCAAAACTAAGTCGTTTGGAGCATAGTTTAATTACTCTATATCACATTGATGTTGGTACTACGTTAAATATAAATGGTGAGATCACTAAAGAAGTTCGTAAACCAAATGAAATATATTAAACATTTTTATATCAGACTTAATTACCAACAACAATGGTATACCAAATAAGTGAAATTATATACAATGTTTTTCATGAGTTGAAACCTTTTTGAAAGTTAATCCATTTAACAATTCACAATTTTAAACTTTTCGAAAATAGATTAACAAAAAAATTCGATCACTGTTTGCTTCAGTCCCTCGTCGCACACACCAATAGTTATATATGTATATATGAAATTTTAATATTTATATATTATATATGACACTAAACTCTTTGATAATAATATTAAGAAGTAATCTTTATTGAGTGTGTACTTCCCTCATTAGTCCCCACACGTTATGTCCTAAACTTTTTAATGATTACGTTAAGGAGTTGAATTCTTATTGAGTGTTGAATACTGCCGGTGTTGAATAACACCAAACTATTTCATGGTAATGTTAAGAAGGAGTTAGATTTTCATTGAGTTTTGTCTATCACTACATCTGTGGTATTTTCGCGAGCACTGATAACGTTACAGCTAAGAACAGTACCGCAAGAACGGAAGACTTGGCAGAAAATGTTACACGGGAATAAAACTTTCTTTGTTCAATGTAACAAAAAATCGTTATTTACTTGCAATACAAGCCAAACATTATGGACAGCACTGCTCTAAAACTGTCGAGAGTTCTTGATGAAGATTGACAGAGTTGACCACTACAAACAACACAAAATGGTCATCTCTCTCGGATTGCATACACCACCCACATCACTGGTTATCTCATTAGTGAAATTAGGAAGGATATATCCTCTAGGTGCTATCAAACATCTGTACAATTGACCTAGGTACAATATTTTTTGCATAACGTTAAAACACTAGTCCTCCACTGAAAGTATCCTAAAGAGAGTTTAACAACTAAGGGGTAAGACCTATAATAATGAGTAACTGGAACATTAGTTAGTTATACACATTTCACAACCAGGTTTCCATTGTTAAACCTATATGCACGACCATGTGTTTGTCATTTGTTGTTTATAATGTTGAAAATCTTATCCACCTGTCTATACTAGAAAAGATACACGTGGTATATTTCACATACCACATCTTTTACTGACCGTTATCTTCTTCTTGTCTTCTAGCTGACTTTTATTTAATTTTAAAACGCAGCCGTATAGAAAGCTATTTAACAAAAAGTCAATTAAAATACTAAATCTAAATTTACAAAATAAAACTCAAGAACACAGATTCGTCATTTGTCATTATTTACATGGAAAATATAAGCAATGCAAGAAAACTCCTTCTAATATTCAAATTATCAGTATCAATTAATTTTCAATGCACATTATATAATACATGATTATATGACACACTAAGACTCTTTAATAAATGTGATTGGTCAAATTACATTATTGAGTTTACAAACAACAAAAATACATTTTTTTTAACAACGACTAGTATTACTTCACAAAATTACATTGTCAAAATACACTTTAATTCTAATCACAATTAAGTTTACAAAATACATCAATAAACCCTTTAACATAACAGCACAAAAAGTACATCTTTTAACGCTAATTAATAATCAGTTTCATGAAAAAATTATAATGAAATAATAGCCCTTTTTCATTCAAACATAAACTTTAATATTCACAGTATAAAACATTTATCTAGGCCATTAAAATAGCTGCTAATCTCAACTTCCACACTGTCTGGATGAGGCTGTAACTGGTGGGTGGTCTACACCCTTGCTGCAACATGGCTTCTTCCTGGGGTAGTAGCAGCCAATTCTTTGGCTTGTCCATGGACAAGGTCAGATGACATGGTGGTGGCCATGGGAGGAGCCAATTTTATTTTAGGCTCTTGAGTACGGCCATCAGCAGTATTAGGTAGAGCCAGCATGTCAGAAGATTCTCCTCCATCAGGTGAACATCAGCTGCAGTCAATAAACTCCTGGAATTTTTGGATGTTATCTTCCATAGCGAGAATACAAGTGGTAAAGGTGTGATACTTCTGGTAAGTCCAGTTGAAAATAAGATAGCCAGGAGTGTATAAAATTTGATGTTATATATAATAAGCTTGAATAAAGAACTGTGTGGTCATCTTTCATTTTAATTAGTCAGAAGTTCAGATAAAAGTGTAAGTTCAAATATTGTAATGCCCCATTCACAATTTAAATACCATTGGCTTGGTCAAATTCCATTTCTACAGAGAAACACGCATTCAAGTATTTATTGCTTGTATAAAACGTTTTCCAAACAACTGTGAATATCTTGGTCTAGAAGGTTTCATCCGGGACAAATACTTGGCCAGCATATAGCTGTGCTCTCTACTGTGTCGTTAGCAGATGACCTTAGCTAACATTTGTTCACAATGAGTGAGTCTCCCACCATTGTCTGATTGTCATAGTAAGAAATCCCAGGTCTAGTGGAGAAGGGTGGGGTGAAACTGTAGATACTGATTCCCACACAAATAAATAAAATCAGGCTAGTCACTATGTAAATACCAGCTGCTGACAATGAGAATCTATTGGGACACACATCTTTCTTTCATACGACTTCACTCAGGGAAAAGTGTAGTA